AGTTCAGAAATATGAAGAAATTGAATCAACGCATCTTTTAAATTCTGACAATATCAAATGATAGGAAAGTACTGGAACCCACATTCAGCCAGGACAGATGTAGTTACCTGTGTTTTTATCCTCAACATCCTCCTCCTCCTCAAACCCTAACCTAATTCCTCCACTTAAAAAAAGATTTAAATGTTACTCTGCTAATAATTTTTTTTTTTAAGTAGGAAAAAGTATCTATGGTAATTACATTTCACCTGCTTTAGCTAATAACATCTTGCAGGTAAAGAGATTATTTGCAAAGGCCAGGTTAACATATAATATTGTTAAAATACTGCCATTCCCTCAAGCTGTTCAACGGCACAATCTGACACATTAACATACTGCAAAGTAAAAAGATGGCACTTGCTACATTTTCCCCAGACTTTGTTTCATTTGAAATATTGTGTACAAGAAAAAGTCATGTTTGAGACATCGCTTCTCCGCTACAGCCTTGGAATTCTGTGACAGCTATGAGACTTTTCTAAATAACAGAACCATGTACACATTCATTTGTTCCTCCTTACTGACTTTTTTTGTATTACCTAGCAACATTTTAGTTTACTTTTCCTTGTGATGATGTTTTTCATTATGCACTCATTTCCTTGGAGTAACCAACCTTCCGAGTGGTCACTGCTGACTGGAAGTGGTATTGTCTTACTCCAGTCTTACATCTGAGCCCTTCCTGGCTCACAGTGCAATTTATTTCATTTAAAAGGAAAAAAGGAAGAAGAAAGGATGAAAAAAAGCAAAAAAGTAACTCATGTATATTTTTGCTCTAATTTCTAATTTTCTTCAATTCCATGATGTACAGTTCTCAAGAATATTATGTTCCTCAGGCTGATCTGTGTTCTCTTTCAATAAAACCACAGGACACAGCTGTTGGGCAGGGAAACTAAATGTCATGGATTCGGTGCCCTGCTAGTTGGCAGGAAACTCTGGCTGCATGCTTTGTATGTTTTTTTTTCACCTTCACTACTCTATTGTGCTTTTTTTAAACAAAAGTTAGACAGTAATAACTAGTACATTTACACACCACAGTTAATGATTGTAATAGTATAAGGTAAGAGAATAAATACTCATTAACACAAAAAAGTATGGTGTAACCCTACATTGAATAGAAAAAATTATTTCTGCAGTTAATGAAAACATGGATACATTTGACAGAATTACTAAGGGGAGGAAAATGGCTTTCATACCTCCTGGGGGCAAATTAACTGTGTGTGTGTGTGTATTTAATCCTTTCAAGGCTGTAAGTCTAATTGTCATAAACTGCCACCCTCCTGCCTCCTGCCCAAGCCCGAGTAGGCACCCCTCAGTGCTATCTTACCTTTTGGTAGCTAATTTGAGTTTCTCTTCCCATCTGCACCATATCTGCAGGAAAGGAGGCCAATAATGCCTTCCTAGAAAACTCTAGACTCTGTTCCTGGGGGTTAATTGTTGATTGAATAATAAATAGCCAGAGAAATACCCATTTGTACAATGAGTAGGGAGGGTGTCTGGCTACAGATAAACCAAAGAAAAGAGGGTACTTCAGCAAACATTTCAGATTACCTAAATGTTTTTTTCATTATTAATGCTTTTGTTTCATGTCTTTTGCTACTGCACCATTATATTAATTCACTAGCCTAACCTAATTAATTAAAACTTTAATAATTATATGTTTATATTTTAATGGGCTTTCCATGATCACCTTGTCTCTTGCTAATCTAGCCACTGACAAAGAGTTTTCCTTAATATGTGGAATATCTAATGAGCTATTCCCTCAAGCAGGCAGTCATTATATATATGGAATTAATGTATCAAACCTCAGATGAGTAAAATAATCATAGTTAAGTGCATTAGGAAGTAATTTAATAAGATTAGCAAATGAATAGTAGGGCTAGGATCTGAAGCTTTCTGATTAGAAATGTCATGAAAGCAAAGAAATTCTCTAGAGACAATTAACTTATTAAGGAACGTAACTTTATATCCTTGCCTTTTGAGATGAGTCACTTAACCACTCTGCCCTCAGCTAAATTATACTGTCTAGGGCTGGGCGTGGTGGCTACAACTCTAGAATTACTTGATTTGGGTTATGTTTCAAATTTGTGATTATTATCATCAAAAGAAAACGGCCTTCAGAAAACGAGGGCATAGATGTAGCATCTTAGAGTTTTTGGTAGTACAGACTTCAGCAAAGCAGATACCAGTCAGTTCAGAGTAGAACTATGTGGGATTGTACTGCAGGAGGACCTATACATTCCTCAGGGAAAGATGGGAGACACTACATTTTCAAGTAATCAGAGGGAACAAAGAAAGGGACAGAAAATAAGCAGAGATAACATTTGGAGAGCTGGAGGTTTATCATGGGTAGGAGAGGTTATGACACCTAAGAAGGGTGAGGGGTTTGGACAGGGAAAGCTTTCCCTGTCCCCTGTGGATCCGGTCCCCCTGAATGAAAGCCATGAGGGAGCAGGTCCTGCAGGAGACAAACTCTCAGTCCAGCCCAGAAGCTACAGACAGAGCTGCTGATTAGACATGTGGAACAGCAATGGCCAAGTCTGAGGATCCCCCGGCCATGCTTAGAAGCTTGCTAATGACTTCCCAGACAGCCTGTGACCATGGCTCAAAAGCTGTCTGCACCGCCTGGTGAGCATCTCATCTCTGCTGAACTCTCCTCCACGCTCAGCTGTTCTGTGTGCTACTTAATGGTCTACATATCACATGTACTCTCTTCAAAATACAGACTACAAAAACCCACAAGAGTAAACAAAATAGGAATACATCTAAAAGATAGAAAGAGTATTACTAACAAAAGAATAACATGAATGGCACAGATGTATAAGAATCACACCAAGATGGCTAAAGTGAAAGGCCTGTGGAAAATACTAAGCAGCAAATGAAAAGAAGGACTTTTAACAGTGTTCTGTTTGAAACAAGAAAGAAAACAAACAAAAAGCTTAGGTAACAGATGATAGATTGTGAATTAACTAGTTTTTGTTGTTTTTTATTTATCAAGTTAAAAAGCCAAATGGATAAGAGTAGAAACAGCATCAGGTAGTGATGACAAAAGCCAAGAATTCATGAAAAGATGCTATGAAATGAACCCACAGCTCTAAGTCAGTTCTGTCTCCTCCATCCAGGTTATTGGCAATGGACAAAGGAACTTCCCAAATACAATATTTAGAAGGTAATATTTTAGAAGAGTGAAGAATGTTTCAGAAGGTAAGAGATACTACAAAATAAAAAGAAATCAATTTAATAGCTTTTTTATAAAAGAAAAGTATTCCATATACTAAAGGTTCACATGCAACTATGAACTCGTAGTAAGGACATTTTGAGAAGAGATAAAATTAATTTTAATAATATATTTTAATTAATTCAATGTATTCAGAATACTTTACAACATTTACAGTGTAAGTAAATGAGATATTTTTTATTCTTTTTCAGTAATGTTCACAATTTGATTTATATCTTATTTTAAAACATCTCAATTCAGATATTAAATTTTTATTGAATATAATTACTAATTATATTTCCTACAATTTGCAGTGGCAAAAAAGGATTCTAACACCCAAGTGGCTTCAAATGTGCTTAGAAATTTTCCAACAAATGAATCAAGTAATGAAAAATCATGTGTCTTTAATATCACATCTATGTTGACAACACCAGTTCATTTTTTTTTAACAGAATTGATTTAACTTTGAAGCAAAGTGTATCAATTTCAAAGCTACATCTGCCAAATTAAATAAAGTCAGTAAATTTTAAATCAACTCCATATTACTAATATAAGATGTATTATATAAAGTAAAATTAATTCCGTTGTCAATATTGACAGTTTTTCAAATCTTTCTTGTGATTTTTCAAATTTTGATTCAATTGATCTTTAAAATTGTTACAAAGGAATTTTATGGCAAGTTTTTGCAAAATATGTTGCCTAGTATAAAAAATGATGTTAATAATTTAAAACGATGAAAAAACTGAGAAGGAAATTAGAAGAGGGAAGAGAACATGTATGCAATGTTTCACAGAGACGGTCCATGAGCGTTGCATGACCTTCGTGATCACTGACTATTTCGAAGTCTTACATTTGATGAATAGCTGCTCTTTTCTTTGATGGTGTGGCTCCTTGGATATGTTCACATTTGTTTTCTATGTGCTACTGCACTTTCTGAAATTCTTCTCTGATTCAGTATATATGATGTGATGGTTACTTTTGGTTGTCAACTTGAGTGGATTGGGGAGCACCTAGGAAATTAGCAAAGCCTGCTTCTGGGTGTGTCCGTGAAGGTGTTTCCAGAGGAGATCGGCGTGTGGAACAGCAAACTGCCAACTGCCGGCAAGACCTTCCCTGAATGTGCACAGCGGCAAGGAGGTGCTGGTCTGGGTAGAACAAAAGTAGGAGAAAGCCCAGGACCACTGGCTCTCAGCTCTGCGTATCCCTGCTTCTGACCACCACAAGGTGAGCAGCTCGGCTCCCTGGCATCCTCTCCAGCATGGTGCTCTTTCCTCACCACAGGCCTGGAATCGTGGATCCAGCCTAATGAGTAATAGAACTTCTGTAGGTGTGAACTAAAATAAACAGCTTCTCCTCTGAACTGATTTCTCATCACCATTTAAGGCGTTTTGTTATAGCAGCGAACAGCAGACAGACACACAGAGATGTATGCATCCCTTACTGGTTTCCACTCCACTGTGCCCTGCTCTCTGTTGTACTGGGCATGCGGAATCGGTGGAGGCAAATTGTGGTGGAGCAGCAACACTGTTGCTCAAGGATCTTTCTTACCCTACCATATACATATATTTTTTCGAACCAGCTGGGGACTTTTCTGTCTTTTTTAGGCAAATGCAGCTTTAATTTCTTGAAAGCTCCTGGAATTGCATCAACTGAAGGAATACTAAAGCAGACAAATGACACATTTTAAATTGAAGTTTATGTTGCTGCCCTGTCTGGTGGTGCTCGCCTGAATTTGCTGACAGATGCAATGAGCTGAGCGGAAAAAACAAGTTTTATTGATCATACTCAAAATTCAGTTTTGGAATCCTTGATTCCACCTAACTTTAAACCTCTCCTAATGGTCTGGGGAATCATTAGAAATCCATTTTCTTCTCCAAAGCCCACCAAATCCCCCAGTAATTATAAACCATTTCAATTTTTCCAGCTAGTAATACATAAGTGAGCATACATGAATACATAAATTAAATAAAAATAAAATACATAATACATAAAATAAAAATAAAATACATAAAATAAAAATGAAATACCTAAATGAGCATACATAATACATAAATAACCATACATTCAAGAATTGTCAGGTTCAACACAGACATGAACTGCATATATTTGCTTCAAAAAGCAATGGTAACCAGTTTGAAAGTGTCACCTATTAGCTAAACAGAAACATGAACTAGAACGTCTACTTTAGATCTCGTGGTAAATATTAAGAAGTCTAACTTCATTGCTTGTCAAATGTATAAACAAGAACTGTTCACCATTTAAGGGGTTGTGTAACACTGGAGGAATTTCTATATCAGCAAATGTCTGGTTTAGAAGATTGCTGAGCTTTGAATTCATTTTCTTCTCTAGTGAGGGACATGTTTCGAAGGTAGGTATGGTTCTATGCGTGAGAGTTCAGACATGGTACATGACTGAATAGTGAGTGTCCAGTTTACACACCACCAAAACTGAACTAATCCTGTCCTCAACTTTCTACCCCTCTTACATAGCCTGCCCATCCACCCCCACCAGGGAGTTTGGATTTTAGGATTACAGCTTTCAGCATTTCACCATTCAGGATTTTAATCTTTAGAACTGAGATTGTCAAGATTATGACCTTTGAGGATTTTATACTTTAAGGATTTTAGTCTTTTGAGATTTCAACATTCAGGATTATGGTGTTCAAGATTGTATTTTTTGGAATTTTGATTGGCGCCTTTTGAATAGGTGGAAACTTACCTGTTAATATTCCACCTTTGATCTACTTCCTGGCTCTTTGTATTGGTGCTGAAAGGCAAGAAAAGAATGAAGAATCCTGAACTTAATTCTGAATTAATTCTTTTTTTTTTTTTTTTTTTTTTTTGGTACTGGGGATCGAACTCAGGACCTTACGCTTGCAAGGCAGGCATCAGAACCACTGAGCTAAATCCCCAGCCCTCTGAATTAATTCTTAATTTGGGCAAGCTACAGACATTCATAATTCAAGAATAACATGCCTTTCTAGATTGTATTAATTAAGGGTGTTGTTCTTTCTTGTTATTCCCCTTTTAAGGTGGATAAAATAATTTCCCAGTCTTCTCTCTCTGGAAAAACTCAAGTAACCAAGATTTCTCCTTTGAGATCCCCATTTGATATTTCCACCAGTAGCTCTCTGCTAAAGCAAGGCAGAGACAAGGAATAGCTAGCTCCATTTGATCAGATTCTACCCTGAGCATAGATGGAGTAGTGCCTGATCACAGATTCAGCTCTGCTCCCTAGGTCAGCCCTAAGGTACAAGGAGGACTGGCTCAGAGACAGCTGAGAAGGGAGCTGCTGAACAGTGTTGAGAAACTGTTTCCACAGGTGCCCTGGGAGCTCTTAATAAGTCAGTGCACCACCTCTGAATAGCAGTATTTGAGATCTACCCCAGAACCTCTTCCAGCCCAGGTAGTCTATAAGTTTTGTGTGGAAGTCCTACTCCACGCTGTAACTCTGCCCCCAACTTGTTCCCCTGAATGATGGTATTTACCACTTCCTGGGAATTTCACCTCAAATGTCTCTCTGCTCCAATGTGATTTATAAAACTGGGATAAAGAGGAACAAGAAGATCCAAGCTCTTCATGAGCCTGGACCTGTTGTTTGCTTAGCTAATCGGATCTCTCTTTTCGCCAGTGTTCATAAAAACAAAGGGAGGAACAACACTCTAAAAAGGATGTAGAATATCAAGTCAATCCCCCAAGAAGCAGAGCTTGGACAAAAATTTTCTTGGTGGGGGGGCTCATTTTCCATCATCAGGAGACCCTGCATCCCTGGGCAGCCCTGCCCTGAGCTTGCACACTGCAGACTAGAGATCCTGAAGAAGGCCCACCAGGCAGCGTGGACTTGGCAGGGCAGGGGTGGGCGGGCTTATGAGAGTAAATGTGAACCCCTGAGTTTCCCCCAGCCCCCTCTCTGCTCTTTTGTATTTTCCAGCTCCACCCTCTCATTGTATTATATGTCTTCATTTCACACACACCCCAGAGGTTAGCAAGGTCCGTCTCCTACTCAGAGATCTTGGCTTTGAACCCGTGGACTCTACAACTCTGAAAATATGAAGTTCAGGACTCTTGCTTATTCCCAGGGTTATATACTCTTGAGATCTTCCTCATCCTCTGCTGTCTTTGCCACATAATCTGCTTCAGCATCCTCAACGCAGACACAGATTTAGTCTCCCACTCAAGCATCCCCAAACATGGCATTTTCATCTAAAAAAGAAAGACCCATTAGAGAGCAAAGTAGCTTCTATCGAATGTTGCATGATGGAGCATAGAGGGAGACAGGATGCACAGCTCATGCCACCACAGCAATCAAAATGTTTCTCTATGTAACTGTTTTCCAACCAAAGTCCCTTTGTACCACTCTGCCTTTCAGGTCCTCAACTCGGCCCCCTCACCGAAGCAGTGGCCCCTTGCTCCTCTTTCCCAAGAGCCCACATCACCATCACCACAACAAACTCCTCTCACTTTCTTCATCAGAGCACACCAGGTCTCCCAGCTCCCCACTCCTTCCAGGAGCACAAGGCAAATCTTGATTTTGACTGTGAGTGAACCCTAACTTTTTAAGGAAACAGTTGGAGCCATGTGGAACAATATTTCGTATGTGTATTGAATTCCATCTATCAGTTACTTCTACAAAGGATTTTCTAATTTTTTCCATCTACTTTATAACATTCAACAACATACTTTTTTTAATACTTACTAACATAATTGAAGGAGTCATGTCATAATATTCATACTACAAGTTTAATTATTAAAATTAATTCTTGAGATTAAATCTTAATTATTAAGATTTTCAACTGGGAAATTCTAGTACTACATCATTTCCTTTGATTTCTCCAATTTCCCTGGTAATACTAATGAGTCCCTTGGTCTACGACTCCCAAATCTGTCCCATACATTCAAAGAAGTTTCACAGAGTTTACAGTTTCTCTTTTACAATCACCTTGGGTAGTTTCTTCTGAGTTACCTAGCCCAAAGGGCTTCATCTTATTTCACTTAAACTGCTATAACAAACAACAACAGAAATTTGTGTCTGATCCTCCTGTAGGCTGGGAAGTCCATGATCAAGGTGCTGGCAGATTTAACATCTGGTGAGGACCAATTGTTTCCAAAGACAGCACCTTCTCTTTCTCCTCACACGGAAGCTTTCCTTGTGCTCTGTAACAAGGACACTAATCCATTCACGGGGCTCTGCCTTCATCACCCAATGACTTTCCAAAAGAAATCCACCTAATACCATGACCTTAGGAAAAGATTTTAACATAGGAATCTGGGAAGGACACATATATTCAGAGGACAGCAAGCTGACACTTTAAACTTTGCTCTACCCTAATCTACTCTTCCTCCAATGAAAGTTACACTTCTGTTCAGAAAAGCCCCTCTGAGTATTTTATCATTCCTGACATTGGAATAGTGTGGAGAAAGGACATTGCTGGGTAGGTGAATATACTCAGAGAATAATTCTTTTTTGGAGGTAATGCACACTGCAATATGCAGAAGGAAAGGATAGTGATGCACGTAACTGAATTTCAGAAGTTTAAGACAAAGACTGCATAGATAGAAAGCACAACTGGGACAAACTATAAACCACTGGAGAATCTGTGTAAAGAGTGTCGGGTGTCTTTTTTTACTTCTTGCAGCTCTTTTCAGTTTCACATTGTTTTCTGATGAGTTCCACTCCCTTTGTGATGAGCAAGGAAAATGCTCCATCAGGCAAAGATGGGATCTTCTTTTTCCAAATGCATTTCTAACATTGTCAAAAACGGTTTAAAATAATTGGAAGAAATTCAAAATTAAAAAAATGAAATCAAAATAAATATTGCACATAAAAAGAATCACATTTGCATCATGGTTCCAAACTCCTGCACTGTCGCCTAGCAGCTCCAGCTCGGGAGATACCATTCTACCACTTTCCTTTTCAGTCTCTTTATATAGAATGTGGAATAAAAATTCCTGGTCACATGACAAATGTGTTTTTATTGTGATTAAGAATAATTATGATTAAGAATACATACAGACTCAGTAGGAACTTTACTGGACCCAAAATTTCTTATTCCAAAGTTCATAATTTTTCTGGGTGAGTCTAACATAGGGCTTTACTCAGAATTCCAGGAGGAACAACCAAGCCTGTAGATCAATTCTCCTTGCTAAGACCCAGTACTTCTCTCTGCATATGTTTGAATGTTAACAGCAAGCACCCTGAGCTGAGGCTGTTGTGCACCCATTAGAGTTCTTGTCCAGCATGCACAGGGCCCTGGGTTTGATCCTCAGTACCAGGAGCTGATCTGCTAAGGACCAACCACAAGACTAACCTCACCTCATTTCAGCCTTTTCATGGGTGACCCTTTCTCTGCACCCCACCTTCCATTGTCAGGGCAGCACATCTACCTAAGTTCTACTTATCTTCAAAGTGTTTCTACCTTGAGACGAACCTGCCCCACATCAGCTTTCCTAGGCATCTCTTGGACTTGTGATACATCTCCCTTTTGTCCCTTGTTCTTCATTCCCTCTTGGAAAGTCAATTTTTAATTGCTGTGTTCTACTAATAGGACAAACTTGTTTTCAGCGTCCTTCAGAAAAGGAGCAGAAGCTCACATGCAGGAGACTGCACTTTGCCCGTGTGTGAATCTGGGGAGACAGTTGGGTCCTCGAGGGTGTGACCTGTGTTTGACTTCTAGCCTGCTGACACTGGGGTGAAATTCTTAACGGAGGCAATGGGATTTCCCAATTTGAAAGCTTAAAACAAGGAAACATAAGGCTCTAAATTTTAACTGAATGACATTATAAAGGAAAGAATGCAAAGGTTTTGACACTTGGCATATGTAGTTACAAATACACATCAAAATATAGACATGTTTTTACAGAATTTTCTTTTTAAAGCAATCTTAGTTTTGGTCTCAAATCCAATTTTTTCCAGGTGTTACTTTTAAGAAATCATATGCAGACAGCATGTTAGGACTTTCATGTAACAAAATCTTGCTTCTCTATTTGAGAACCAAGAAAATCTTCCCAAATCATAACATAACTGGAAAAAAGTATGATAATTAATATTTCTGTTGTCTGCTGCTATTTTCCCGAAGAAAAAGTAATAATCAACTTTGTTTCCAAGAGGTCAGATAAGGGATTTTAAGAATGGAACACAGAAACTACAAAAATGCACATCAAATCCTGAAAAGGATCTAAATAAAAAATGAGTTTAACTCTCTTTTATTTAAGACACTGAGGCCCCTGGAAGGTTTATCAGAGATTCCTCAGCTGATGACCACACACCCAGGCCTTTGTTCCTCTCCTGGCCCTGGCACTGCCCTGACTCATGGCCCTGCACATCTCCCCTGCTTCCTGACCCTTTTCTTCCTCGAGTCCTCTCCAAGGCTTTCTAGACAGGCTCTTTCAGAGTAAGATCTTCAAGGAATTCTTACTTCCAGACTAAGTTTCTTCCATCTGTGATACTAAGATTCTTTTCAACCATAATGGAAAAACAACATTCTTCTTCACTGAAATACAGTCTAATCACATTTGCACCCTTCTTTCTTTTCCTTTACCCAACAATTTTTGAACCACTACTGGATGAGAGGAACTGTGTAGATGCTTGGGACATAAAGGAGAGCAGGACAAGGCTCCTGCCAGAGGCATCTCAGCCTTCCCTGGGTTATTTCTCCTATTACCAAGGCACACACCTGTACTAGTTTACATTCTATTAGTTCTTCTTGCTTTTTTACTACTTGAGATGGACACGATCTAGCTAAGACAAGATGACATTTGCTTACTATTATTACTGTCTGTCCACCTATCCATCAGCCTATTCATCCATCTGCCTACCCATCTAGTTATCTCATTGGCTGAACATACACTCTGTTGCCTAGGATGCAAACTTATCTGGTTTATTATTTAGTTGGGTATAGGCATGTTCAATGACATCACTCTTTCTTATAATGAATGGTCTTTTGTCCAGGAGGTAAATAGTTTTGAGTTATATAAAACAAGAATGTACTAAACACTGGTTTTCATCTTGTCCCTCCAGGGGTTATCATTTTCTTAAGGTTCTTCCTCTGTCATTTTAAAAGCTATAAATGGCATTTATTACAGTCCCATATAATCAAATCTCAAAATACCAGCAAAGAACTAGTAAACCTCTAGAAACTTGAGTCTTCATGTTCTTGACGGTTGGTCTCTTAAGCAACAGCTTGGAGACCCACCTGCTGTCAAAATAACCGTGCCATCTTCTCACTTGATTTCATAGGACCACGAAGACTCCCAGATGCTTCCTTTGTGGAGATTTGTGCTACTTCTCACCTCACTTTTCTCACAGAGTTTCAATACCACATTTTAACTTAAAGGGAACTGAAAAGAAGGGCTGTTGTCTTTGTTAGAATACAAAAGCATTACTGAGGGGGAGAGGCACTGAAATAAAGGGAGCGGTTTTGTTAAAATTTTGAGTTGTGCTTGAACACATCCTAAAATGATTAAATTGTCCTGGTTCTAAATCATAAGCTTGGTAATTTAAAGCTAACTTCCATTGACTAATAAAATGGAAAATATCAGGATAGGCTAGAGCCTGGGTTTCTGTGACCCACTCTTTAAGAACTGTGATAGGAAACATTCCGTACAACTGACAGTAAACAAAAGTTAGATTTAAAAAGTTCCCGGTGGGTGTGTGATTCACAATAATTGTAGAATCTGTTTCTGCCTCCATATAAAAACTACTAATAAATTATGAGCACATAAAATGAAGCTGCTGATACAGGAATAAATATTGATTCATGACAAAGTTCAGGATATCTCTTATTGTAGCCTGAATCATGCAGTCCAGGCTGGCAACTCTTTGTTATTCAGATTTTAACATGTCTTTATTTTCTAGATCTAACAACAGAAGCTCTAGTTGCTTTTGCTGTCTTCTACCTGCCATGAACTCTTGCCCCTCTGCCACGCTGCCTTGGAGCCAGCCAATTATGGACTGAAACCTCTATGAACTATGAGCCAAATAAACCTTTCCCCTTTAAAAAAAAAAAATCTAACAACAGAAAGTTATATATCCATCTAATAATAAAGCATTACCATTACAATGAATTTTTTGGAAGATAAGATTTTGTGTAATGCTAAATTTCCAAAATTGTCAAATAATCTGTACCTCTATATAAGCTATAACAGCAAAAAAAAAAACCTAGCTAATTTGCATTCTCACTGTTTCATATAAGCAACAAAATTTA